GAAGTGGCTCTTTAATTATTGTGTCGAATGCGACCAATTTTTAGGGTAATCAAACTACAAAGATTGTTTAGGACAGCTTCTAAACCCCAACGAAACTTGCAGAATCGTTTTTCATGGCTCCAGGGTGCTACCGAACTATAGGCCCATTTGCTGGGACAGAAAATGTTCTCGTATTAAAAACTTGCAAAGAAGCAGTTGCTCAAAACTAAGTTGCACGTATACTTGTGAACATGACGTCAAAGAGTTTAGACAAGTGAGTGGATAAAAATCAGACTGTGTGAGCTGACAGGTCTTTTAAGAGAATTGCGCTACATGAAGAATGGTTGAAATTTTCTCGGAATAGAATGGTCTCCGGCGCATCAGTGAGTAACTTTATTCAGCAGCTCTCACGTGGGTGGCCGACTGAATGACAGTATTATGAAAATCCGAGAGCCTCAAATTTTTGCAGAATTACGGAGCCGTAGATGGCCGTGTAATTAGATCCCGACGGTTTTTTATTTTCATACGTGAATCTTTTCATACGAAAGCCAATACAAATAATATTCAGCATACTATTGCCTAACAATATTCGTTAGTTTGTTGAGGAAAGTGTTTGTTAATGATTTGATAACAAGTAAACTATTTAAAGCAATTCGTCGCTCTAATGAACTGGAATAAAACAACGGGAAGACGTAAATCATACAATGTTTTCCGGAGTAACACTAACAATTTATTTTTAACGAAAGGCACACATTTCTTAGATTCGGAATTTACACGTTTCGCCAAGATGGGGTTCAATGTTTCTGTGTGAGTGAGACGCATGTTATGATTTTGTGATTCGTATTTCGGTCAGCGTATCAGAAGTAAACGTTTACCGAAATCTATGTATGATTGTATTATAAATATCCTATATACCTCCCATATCTCGATAGTAGATACGTTCGCAAGATCTCTATTCTTTGCCGGGGTTTTATAAGTGGTGCTGTCACCTCATGTACCATTTTCGATAGGTCGGCAACCATAGGTGTTGGTCTGATTTTCTACCAGTTGAACTGTAGGCCTAGGATCCTGAATGGTGCTATGGTGCAAGCAGATACTATGGTGGTTCCATTTACTTTCAAGAGTAGGCCATTAAGAGCACTGATACGTTTTTTCTTCTATCTATTTGTATCTGGATATATTGGGTCTCCGATTGGTTTGCGGACAAATCGATTTCAAACAAACCATCCCGCAGACTTTCCAGTATGATTGTCAATGTTTCTGTTGAGGCAGCTATCAGTATGATATGGTCCACAAAAGTCAGATGATTCAGTTGGTCACTGGGTGTATTTAGAGGAAAATCAAAAGAGGATGAGACAAGTTCATCCAGGGCCATGATGAACAATAAGGGAAACAGAGGGTCTCCTTGACGAACAACTCTTCTTGGGAAATACTCGCAGATTTAAAAATAAAAAGACAACTAGAAACGCCAGACAGTTGCATAGAAGTCAATGGACGTTATCCAGAGTCATTACTAGCGAAACACCTGGCCGAAACGGGAAACATAATCGAAGTTTGTGACACATTCCCTGTGATTTTGCACAACAACCGGCAGCGCATGCCCCAGTTTGCTAAGGCTTTGGTCATCAGGAGTCAGAATTCCAGCTGTGTGCTCAAAAACAATTTGTTGACGTTGCGACTGTCCTGGTAGCCGGCATTCCCAAATTTATAGTTTATATTTCCGTATCTGTCTGTGTAATCCCTCAAATCACGACTTAGTATTGATTACTGAACAACTTCTTTCACAGATAAACACTGCTTGTACAAAATTTGTGGTCAAGATTTCCGCCCGCTTATGCCATCTGACTTCCGTCCGATTTCCATTTGTTTGGTGATTACAAGACGCCTTCATAAGATCTTGTTTGGCCATCAGACCTTTCTGATCGATAGCAGTTTGGCTTCCTACAGCGAGATGGAGCATTTGAGATGACAACTATTCTCCGTAGCTCGTTTCATCATTCTCATAAAACACACCGCGAGTGTCCGCTTTCAAACATTGATATTTCTAAAGCTTGTGATCACCTATCCAACGACTCAATGATAAGAGGAGCTACTAATCACCATGCGCCTATCATTTTGAGCAACTACCTACGTTCAGTTTATGAAACTGGTAAATCTCACTTAGAAAGTCGCGAGATTTCCCTTCTTGGGAAAATCGCAGCAAAGAATTAAAATCTTGCGGATGCATCTACTACCGAGAATAAACCACCAGCTGTCTCAAAGCCATCCATAAAAAGAAGCTTAAGTCCCTAAATTAAGCACTGAGTATGATTATTAAGAAATGACTATCGCTTCCCAAAGACAAATCCCAAGCTATCTTTTACTCGGATATCGATTCCGGAGGCACGGGATATCACATTTTTAATCTCGCACGCTTCTGGATAGAAAACCTCCCATGAAAAAACGCTTGTCATCGAGAAATGCAATTCTACAATGAGCTTCAAGCGATCCCTAATTTCAACCGTTTCATCGCCTTGCCCTCAACAGCCGGAACGATTACTGCGTCCAAAAAAGAAACAAATTTAGCACGACGTGAGATCCCGTATCATATACACGACGGCGCCTGTCTGCGACATTCACCAGCGACGGCCATGTCACACAGTTAGTTGCCGAACCCAATCAAGATTACTCCCCGTATCTACATCAGAACGATGCAACCTTGAGCTGGCGTGTTGCCCACGAAAATCCGTCGCTCATGTGGTTGTCCAAAATCACCAGGACTTAATCTACTGATGTGGTAACAGCCATGAAAGTGTGTCTCACTCTTCAGTCATGCCCTCAAACATTCTGACACATGCAGACGACGCAACATTGTAGCTGCATTAATAATCCGCTAATTGAGAAACGAAAACTCTCAGTGATCCCAGAACCTCATATTCTCCTGGCCAACTCATTTCTCAAATCCGACATCCCTATATTCACAGGTGCTGCAGGATTTGTTGCCGATGTGGCTACTCGTGACCGGCACAAGATGGGAGCCTCAACCAAACCGAAGAAGGATAAATACGGTTCTCAAGAAATCGTTCAATGCACTTCTGGCTTTCAGCGTTCCTGGAACCACCCACTTTGCAAAATATCTTGATGTCACATCGTGTTTAATAACAGAGGTTTCATACATTCATCATCACAAATACCTCTGATAACCAGGCCTCTGAGGATGTGATATCTCAGAAATGTGTACGGCATATATTTAAGGCTCCCCCAAAATATTCGATTCGTATATGGGAGGTACATACTTAGATTTCGGTAAACGTTTACTCCTGATACGCTGACCGAAATACGAATCACAAAATCATAACATGCGTCTCACTCACACAGAAGCATTGAACCCCATCTTGGCGAAACGTGTAAATCCCGAATCTGGGAAATGTGTGCCTTTCGTTAAAAATAAATTGTTAGTGTTACTCCGGAAAATATTGTGTGATTTGTCTCCTCATTGTTTTATTCAAGAAAAATATTGTCTATAGACGAGGTGGTTGGACAGTTTCCTTACGACGTCTACATCAGTGACCCTTCCTAAGTTGCATGTCAACTGTTTGAATCAGGTTCAGTCAAACACATCCATTGTAGTATCTGTTAGAATGCACGATTATATGCGATCTGTCAAGGAAGCTGTATACCTCTAAATTTGGCAGTACAATACAGAATGTTGAAGGATTACCCAAAAGAAACTGGTCATGTACACAACAAATTAATAATCAATAAAAATGATCAACTTACAACTAAATGAAACCTGTGCACGGAAATCAATTTCTAACAGTTGACAACTTACGAATGAGTGGCGCAAACGATTAAATTAAGCGATATAGAGACAAACAAATCACGGATCATCGTGTAAAGAACGTGTCGTGAGGGAATAGAGTTAATTCTGGATACGCCCTCATCTTTGTGATACAAAAGTGGTGTGGTGGATAGTTTGCTGACGCCCCATCAGGCGATCGGAGATTCAAGTCCTTGAGCCGCCGCTTCGTCACCACCTGACTCTCAAAACTTGCAGCAGTCAAAACATTCTTTCACTGATTTTACCCGTGATAAACGGATAACGTGGGTGAATTGCTTCCCATTGCACTAGAAATTACAGGTTGATTTCATGCTACAATGATTGATGTTTTGCATCAATTTCTATCGCCACTCATTCGCAAGCATTAGTCTATTTTCTGAACACTGAGGCCATCAAACAACCGAGACGGATGCAACACGTTGTATTTCTGAAATCAAACGAAGGCGCTGGTATTGCGATCTTGAATATAGCTGACAATGTGATGACAATGCGCACGGTTCTGGCTGATGAACAAAAGTTCAAAGTTGATCGTGCACCAGACAATAAAATCCTAATTAAAAAACAGATATCGAGGAAACCGCGAATAATTCTACTGCAGGGTTAAGTGAGAGTATAATCAGCTGAAACCAATTGGGACTCGTACAAGAATGAGAGGACCACCTAAATTACACAGACCTGGTCTTCCTTTGAGGCCTAGCCTTGTCATGCGTGATTCGGCTCACAACAACCTTGTTCGATAACTAATTCGGCTATTTGATCCCATCCGTAAAACCCTTAGCCCCCGTTCTTTGAAGGATTCTTTCGAGTTGTGGTATTTTGGAGAATATTTCGATGAGTTCCAATTGACGATGACTCACTAGTCATAAACGTTAGATTACATGAGGTAGTTGGTTACTTATGCAAGTTCTGTGTGTGTGGAAAACATTCGATCTGAGTACGATGGATGTAAATAAGTTGATGATGTAACAATAAACAGTTTATTGCACTTGATAGTTGTCACTTTCTTTGGAATGGTCGGAGATAGACTGTCTGATTGTATTGAACGTTCTTTGTTTTACAAACAGTTTGTCGATGACATTTTAATATTCACCGATTTTGATCGCTTTATAACCTTTTTACACCAGTTTAATTCTACTCACTGAAATCTCTCTGTAGTTTGACAGATTTGGTAATTTAGTGGAGACGCAACTGTGAAAAATTTGGACTTCGGCTGGATTCGAATCATCGAAAGAAATATGCTCAAACGCAACAATGTTTTACCGACTAAACTACGAAGTCACGCCGGAAGTTTGGAAATTTCACTCGTTCCGTTTTGACCACATACTTGGCCTGGTACCCACATTGAAACTGGTACATACAGTGAGACTTGGTGCACAAAAGTAGTGGCATTTATCCCGGTGGATTGGAATTCGGCTAGTTGCCTATAGTATCGTGACAGAGGCCGCATAGAATGTTCGACAGACTGTTGCATGAATTCGCTGAATGAATTGTTCCAATCACATCATCACTTTTGTAGGCCAGCTGTAAGGTGATGTTTCGCCTGGGTCCAGTTGTGGTTTGTTGGAGCATGGTCTGGTTTGCTATGGCGCTCAATGAATTTACGACGGTAGTCATTTGATTACACTAACTGAAAGTGTTGCAGTTCACTGTGTAAGGTGCAAACCCGAGCACATTTGCATTGAACGGACGTGAAGCTGTTAAATTTTAGCACTCACAACTGATTGCGGCATTCGTATTCACACTGACTTTAAACTAGTTCACTGTCAACAATTGAACTACATTCGAGTTACGCTCTTCAGTGGTGTAAAGTCTCGCGTCTAGCGCTTCTTTTAAGGAGAGAATAACTGAAAAGGCAGTGGGAATGTGAAGGCTGTTCAATTTACATTAGTCAAAAAGCTCCTGCTAATCGGCAGTACTCGAAACGTCCTTAATCAGTCAAAATGATTTGTTATATCGGCCTGATAAGTAATAATCACGGAGTTTGACTAGAATTAACAGGACGGCTACTGTAATACCTCTCAAAGCTGTCAGACAATCTGAGCACTGCTCACGGCAGAATGTGATTCAGCGTTTGCATATGACAAACGTGAGACCAATGGCGCAATGGTGAATATGGTTGCGCCATGAAAGTGTGGATAGAATTCAAATCCTCACCGTGGCCATGACATACGCTATTGATGGGCTCTAACAAGACCGAAGCTCGAGTACAATGTCTTCCCGAAAGGGACTTATTAAAGTCTATTTAGTACTAGAGATGCGATTAGTTGTG